TGATGCACATTACTTTTTTTTTTTTTAAGGAAAACTACTATAAATTTACTTTGTAGTCTAATGATTTTTTTGTAATTTGTTAATACAAATTAAATGTATTAAATTCGAAATTCGAACGAATAGCTTCTTTGTTATTAAACTAAATCATGTATTAAGGATGATAATCCTTCCATCCAATAATTTTTATGAAATATAATATCTACATATGTTTGTAAGCAATATATTCAATCTATTATATTAAGACAATTTTGATAAATTATTTAGTTATTGTTGTGAATAAATATTAATTTTCGTTATAATTTTAAAATCTTATAAGCTCTCATTTTTGCTAAATCTGTTATCACATTATATTTTTATTAATAATACTATAAATTTAGTAATTCAGAAAATAATAAAGTTCGAATTCGATTTACATTCATAATATTTTTTTGAAAAAACTTATCTTAAACAATTTATAATTAAAAACAACGATTAGTTTTTTATTGAAAAAAAGAAGATTGCCACAACAAATTTCTTAAATTTCATAAATAATTTACTAGAAAATATGGATTTTAACTAATTTAAAAAATTTAAAACGTCATGATTTGAATAAAATCACCATTTAATGAAAAAAATAGGGACAAGCATTCTCGGTAAGTCGTAATCCTCACTGTATTTATTTGTAGTGTGGGTAAGTTTATACAATCATGCTGCGAACAGGGTATTACTCTGTATTAAAAATGATTATATGGCGCATAAATGTCTGTTTATAATTGCTTTAATTAAATTTTATCTCGTGTACAAATCGTTTGTTTAATAAAACACACGTGTATGATTATTATTATTATTATTTTAATACTTATTATAATTCACTGGTAACACGCATCAGTCGTAAATCGTTAAGCTTTGTTTGAACGCCCTCAATTGATCTATATATATAATATATATAATATAAATCTTCGGTAACATGACTTTAAATCTTAAATATAATATTATATATTTATGTATTATAATATTCTAAATTAAAAAAAAATATTCGTATATTTTTTCAGTTTTTGTTATTTATCAATTTTCTTTTAATCATTTTTACCCCTCCACATTCTCTTTTAAAAGTGTACATAAAAAGTTGTCCCTTCCATCTGTTAAAAATTCCTGATTAAGCAGCTGTGTGAGTATACAAAAGCTATTTATGCTTTGTTATTAACGCTGAGATTTTTATGAAATGTCAATTTTTTCTGCTGGGTTATAGCGTATAGTTCTTTTTGCAGAAAAAACGTGCTTGCATTTTTTGACAAATTCAATTTTTTAGTGTTATTTACAATTTGTAGAGTATTTTTCACAAATTATTTTTAAGTGAACATACATTTTTATAATAAATCTTTCATATTTACAGAGTTACATAATAGTGGTCAGATATAGTATCAAAAGTATAGTAGTAGATATGCAGCTCTCGTCATCACTGTTTTCATAAACAAACAAATAATTGAAAAGGTGATATCTATATTTATATTTTACTGATTTTAAAGAGTCATCTGAAAAAAATTTTACTGTTACATGACACGTTTTTGTTATATTGTTTAAAAACAATTAGAAATACATTTTTAAAGTTAATATTTTAAGATTTTTAACACGTTTTTTTTAGGTCATTAATACCCAGCCCTAATTATTATATATTATTTTAAACTGTTATGTTTTCGTACTACAGCATAGTAATAATAATAGTATATCAACCGGTAACCGGGTGCAATTATGTGTAGGTACTTATCTATACAGCTGAGCTATTAATAATTTAGCGGGATCTAACATCTAACGCGCAAGCGTTTCGTTTTTCGAGTATACGTTTATCGTACGCGTCGTTGTGGACTTGAAAACCTGGAAACATATTAGTATATTATGTACAGTGTGATTTAACAAACCATACTACTTTATTAAAAATCATCGTTACTATTGTTTGAAGTTTTACAGTAATATTATAATGAGTATTTTAAAATTAAATTTAAAATTTGAAGTCTACAGATTTTAGTAGACCAATTAAAACATTTTTTTTTTGTCTATTTATATGTTCCATGCATTTTATAATATTGGATTTTATTTTAGAGTTGTGATTTGCAATTTGCGGTTTATTGTTCATTTGGTTGTAGTTTTACGTTAACTTTTGCTTGATACTCTTTAAGTACTTAAAAAAAATTGTACATTAATGTGTGATGAGTATAGATTTTAAAATTGATATTCAAGTAACAGTAATACAATACTAGACCATATCTCTGGCTCAGTCCAGATATGTGGCGGATATTTGTTGACATTTTCAAAAAAAAAAAAAAAAATGGTATTTCTGTATAGTTATAAAAATGTCCATTATACATATGTATAAGTTTGTGTTGTTAAGTTATTTTAAATGATTAGGTATTAACTATTAACAATTATCATAATTGATTACGATAAAATACGATTCAATAAAACTAAATTTAAAATGAATTCGTTCACTATTGTTTATGAAATAAAAAATATCTATATTATATTTGAGAACTAAAATATGTAACGGGCGTCAAATTTTAAACTCTAACTTACAAAGTGCAACTGGCACAATATGTATCAGGTAATGCAGTTTATATTCGTAATTTTATACCACTCCTAAGGTATATAAGCGTAAATAAATTTTACACTGTTGAATCATAGAAAAAAATAAACGATTTTGAACTTTTAGGTAGGTACACCTACTGTCTTATAAGTGCGTAATACATATAGCAATTGTACGTTCGACAGTTCACATTTAACTTTGTAAGTATTAACATAAGCGTGAATTTAATTATTAACAAGTAATTAAATGTGAGAACATTATCCTTATTTTTGTATAAGTTTTCATCGATGTTTAAACATAGATTATTTATAACTAATTTGAGAACTGTTGAATATTGTGATAAAAGAAAAAAAAACAAAATATAGATTATGTCAACACAGATAATATTTGTGTCTTTAAATTTAATAATAGATCAATCCAGTCTAATATTAAAGCTAACAACACAAGCTAAATTTTTTTGAACGAAAATTTGACATATCATCAGGTGTACTAATAATATGGATACGACAAACGCTGGTGTGGCGTCCTCTAATTAAAGACCATATTTTAAAGTAACACAGAGGTTTTTACGGAATTTAAAGAATGTTTTGTCGCTAAAAATTTTTCTCTTTTTTAAATGGAAATTTCTATTACTTACCGTGAAATATTGAACAAGTAATTTTTTTTTTTTTAATATTAATACGTCTAAATCAATATTCAACTGAATATAATATGTATATTATAGTTTATACAAACTTTATCTATAAAGGTAAAATTGTATAATGTGGTTCATAATAATTTATTTAAATGTTTTAAGAGCTATGATAATTTAAAAATTAAAGAAAACAATATTTATTATTTAAAGTTTTTAAATTTGTTAATAAAAATTATCTTACAAAAGTTCGAGTAATATTAGTATTTGACTATATACTTGTATTTATTGTATAATCACTATACAGGTATTAGTTATCGTATGTTTAATAGGTATACATGGTAAAAAAAAAATGAAAAATATAAATCGAAGGCAAACGATTAAGAATCTACTGTTAGGTAAAAAGCAATATAATATATATATTAGAACTCCGTAATTGTTTTCCACTAACGTATGCAAGTAAAAAAAAAAAAACTAAAAACTTTTTAAATATATTTTTAAATACTTAAATTTGAAATATTTTTGACAAGTATATGTCCATGTTATACTATAGAAATGCTACATTATGGACTATTTATTCACCATTCGGCTTAATATACAAGTTGATTAAATCTGTAAAAACTACATTAATTTGGATTTCGATTTGGGTAAAAACTTCAAAATATTTTGAAAACAATACGACGATGAGCGGTGATCGTTGTGCTCATTTCATGTTTACAGCTATGCAATTGGCTAGCTGAGATGTACTACTCGACAGCATGGAATGTAAAATGTGTATATTATATTCATATTACATAATGTAAAGTCGATATATTATAACGGCGCCACACAACGCGATTGTCTGATGGTACACGATTATTATTTTATAATATTATACAAATATAATAAATATGCATTATAGTCGTTTTTGGTCTTAACCCAATTGCAAATATCGATCTCCGTCTGGTAACGTTTATTTTCCCTCCGTTTTTATTTGCTTTATCCTTCTATCTCTTTCTCTCTATTGCGCCTTGCTCTTAAATATCCACGCCAAGACATTGTGCAGTAAACTTGACGTTAACGGCTATTTTTACGTATGTTTTTTAACAATCTTAACCTAAAAATTTGAACTCGTAAAAAGCGGGCAAGTAAATAACTGTTAAGCTGTACAGTAATTGTCAAACGTACTACTTAGTTTTTTCAAAATTTGAACTTAAAAGTTTTTATAAAAAAATCGTGCTTATAGAATTTCGATATATATATTTTTTAATACGGCAAGAACAACCTTATGAAGAACCTTGCATTAAATTTTCAAATTTTTATTGAAAAATAAACATTTTATCACATTTAATTTTAAAAAAAAAAACTGAAAATTATGTCATTTAGTAAATACTAATGAGAATATTTGGTTAAACTTTTAAGTTTTTTTAATATAGTAATTTATTTTTGAATTACTATGAAAAAAAATTGATTTTGTCGAATACTGGTTAGTAAAATTTTTCCCTTTACACTAATTTTAAAGAACTGATAATTATTATTTTTGACCTTTCAAAACTACCAACTAAATCCACTATCCAGTTTGTGAACTATTTATAAATCCAACAATGTGAGGACTGTGTGGTATACAAGTATAAAAATTAAAAACACACATCATTGTAAATTCAATTTTCAACATTTAGCTTAGTGCTCAAAATTTAAAATGACAGTTTAGAGTTTTTGATCTCTACGATTTGGTTCTACACCCATATAATATATTATGTAATGATATGAATTCCAGTTGCCAAAACTTAAATAAAAATATATTAATGATAATATTTATATGTTTGTTATCAGATGATCGCCTACATTGTTGATCGCGGATAATATTATTTACATACAATTGTCGGCGGTGTATAGCTGCATATAGTGTATACATACAAATTCGTGTTCAGAGGTCGTGTCTGGAAACGACAACGACTTATCTCGGCTGCAGAAGCTGCAGTTTTGGTCGGATATGTCCACACCGGCGGTCACCACTCCGGTGGATGTCGCCACTACAACGGCGAATACCGTACCGGCCGTCGCGGTCGTCGCGGCTCTGGTAGATCCAGCGAACGATCGTCGATCGCCACCGGAAAAAGTCTCCAGGAATACAAGGCATGTGAGCATGCCGCACATAGATTCTCGACCTCATCGTTTGCAGGAAACGACGACGGCTGTCACGAAGTCTGGCAAGGAGCAAACAGCGCACCAGCAGCGTCTGCAGTACGGCAGGTCGAATAGTACGGCAGTGGCGACGACGGCCGAAAGGGGTGTGCATCGTGTCAGTGGCGGTGGTGGTAATGGTGGTGTCGGAGCGGGATTCAAGAGCAAATTGCGCAACTCGTTCAGGTCAACCGCCAAGAGGATCCGGCAACAGCAATCGGCTATCGACGCGTTAGCAAAAAATAGCCAAATGCTTGGATTGCACAACCTCCAGGACAGTTCCAGGACAATACAGGCGCAACGGGCTGCTGGTCGGGTAAGTACGATAAAATTACGTTTGGGGCCTGGAAATGTTGATCATCCGCATAGGTATACGCAATTTTTATCGACATATTCGAGTTACTACCATGTAATGTAAGAGGTATGAAAGAAACTGGTGAGCTTAAGAAATTAAGTTTTTTGAACAATCGATATAGAAATTAATTAATTAATGCTCAAAATGTTACCCCAGTTAGATAGATATTAAACTATTGAAGTGATTAATAGATTAATTATTTTTTATTTACATGTTTTAATGATAATGTAAAGTTTTTAAAACTAATACCAAATATTTTTATGAGAATCAATTGATTGAAGCCATCCTGCAGCCGTCTAAGTTAATGGTTACTTTGTATTAAGTTCCTAGATAGTTTTGATAGTTTGATGGACCTTAATGGAACCTAAATTATTGTACATTTGGGACCACTTTTTAATATATACGTCCAACTATTATAATAAAGTGTCCATTATTATAAGAAGTTACGATTTCTATAATATTTGAAGTGTATTTTTACCAATGAATTTAAAAACTTCTGCGTCTACTTTTAAGAGATATCGATTAGTAATAGTTTTACTGTATATATTTCTAAATTCACAAACAGTGTAATTGAACTTTTCATGAAATAGATATCCATTTTAAAAACTCCGATCATAACGTGTAAAACGTTTTTATTTTATTGTGATGGACGCACAAATTGTATCGAATTCATGAAATACAAAACATATTTAACATTTAGTGTAATTTAATTTAAATTTATAACACATGGTATGTGTCAAAATTTTTACTAAAAATAATATATATATATATATATTTATTAATTATAGTTTATAAAATAAATAACAAATATATACTATAAATACCTACGCAATGAAATTAAAACAACATGTGCATTTTATTAATATTACAAATAAAATAACAATCGACTTAATAATTAAGTATGTCGTGTATGTAATATTATTTTATACATTAAATAATATTTACTTCTTAATATTAATTTATTATTTTGTTATAACAATTACAAAATGTTTTTTTTATTTGTTAATAACTATTTTACTAAAATTTAACTTAAACATTTTTTTTTTCCAAATGTAAGATAATAGCTATCATTTCATGAAATAAAAATAATTCGTATCCGTTACTTGAACCTAAAAATGACTTAACCATTATGATCAAAATTCATGAAATGGATATTCGTTTCTTGAAAAGTTCGATGACATTAAATGGATGTGACATATTGACATATTGTATAAATGTACACTATCATACAAATTAAATTTACTGTAACTAATGCAATTGTAGTTCTATACTACTCACGCGAGTGCATTAAAAATAATATATTCAATGAACTTCTCGATCTATTATTATTACAAAGCTTTTTTCAATATCGTTTAATTGAACAAGGAAGAAAAGATGTTAGATGAGCGTGGATTATTATTTTTGGAATGGGAGTATAAATTAATATAATATTATTATATATTTTACAATTTTCCATTACACTTATTATTATTTCTGTTAGTTTATAAAAAAATGTAACGTATTAGTCTTTAACGGTATATTAATCAGGAACTTATACAATATTTTATAAACGAATATATTATGGTTAATCACTTTTCAAAACAATGAGCGTTTTTAAAACCTTATCCTCTTACATTCTTAATTTTTATTATCCCTAAACCCGCGTTTATATGCACGTATATATAAACACGATTTCGAGTCGATCTTCATATTACTGCAGTGTATTGAAGGAATACGGGTTCCGGAAGTACTATCCATTTGTCCGGTTAGTGAAAGTGAGTTTAAGACCTAAAAGACCAACTTATGATCGTTTGAAAGTCGCTTAAACGATTACCGTAGTGGCAACTTCCTGCTTTAAGACCCAATAGCAGTCGTGTTCGTTTAGCCACGGGTACAATACGCGTATATATATATACATATATACATAGTAGTTCCTTGGCCGTTTTCATTTTTGGAAACGTCACGTAACTTGCAAAATTAGCTGCCAAAAAATAAAGAGAGAGAGAGTAGAAATTAAATTGTAAAGTCATTTTTAGTTTAACTACTAAATTTAAGCTTTCAAACGTACAAGTGCTAGTGTTCCTTGAAGTAATATAAATAATCCAATATTTATATTTTACTCTTTAGGACTAGTGATCAACAGAAAGTATCAAATGCCTTTTTGGGATATAAGAGCTAAAAAGTTTTTTTTTTTTAATTTTGACACTGATAAAACGATTCACATTAATTGATATTATTTTTTTCTTCGGTTTTTCGTAAATATTTTTTGAACAAGTATACACCATAAACTAATCTATTTAAAAACATTTAGTAGTTATTTTTAATCTTAAACAATTTTCTCAATTATGTGTTATATTTAATTTTTTTAAAACTTTTTCACAATTATTATATAATTAATCGTAATACTATTATCAAAAATAGTTTTTTGGAATTAATAGTGTTCAAATTTTAAGGTTATTTATATAACATAATATATCATAGAAATAAAACATTTTCATTCCTCGAGTTTTTAGAAAAACTGAAGTATCAATATTCTAAAGTTAATGTAAAACAATAATTTTTTTACAACCTTACATTTTAATTTTATTATTTGTATACATCTATGTATATATAATATAAATATTAGTTATAATAATTAATAAATTCTTAAAATGAAAAAAAATAAGTCTTTTTATGCAAGTCGATTCTCAAGAGAAAAATATATTCTCAGTAGAATTTAATAGAAAAATGTTTGGCCACCCCTGGTATATAATATATAGCAAGTACAATGGACGAATGTTTTTCGGGAATTCCGGGTTGCAATTAATACGTTCCATCACTGCAATAGGTTGTAAAACGGTGTTAGATGTTGTAAAATAATATGTGAGAAATTAAATTACATTTTTCGAGGTGTATTTCGTTTTAAAATCGACGTAATCTAACCGTAGGTATAACTCGACAAGGAAATATATATATTGGTTTAACGCCCACAAACACGTATGATGATAATTTAATCGTGGTTTGGCATTTTCAGCTCTGATACATCCTAAAATCAATACGCCAACTCGGTATACGTCAACGACTCGTTTTCTTGATTAATTTAGTATGCTGGCCGTTTGTACAAAAAAATTTTACGACTTAGCAGTATTTTGTATACATGCTTAGAATTTCAGTGAGGAAATAAAACACTCGATTTTAAAACTACACGAGCGATTTGCGCCAGCGATTCAATTCTTATGATATTTATAATTTTAAGATAAATTTGCATATTTTTATATGTATCTAAATTTAAATTTGAACGAGTAGTTTCCGAGTTCTTATAAATGTTATGTGCTGCGGATAACCTGTAGTCTATGATAATGATAAAGATATGGTGGTCAAATCAATAGGTACCTACCAATATATTAACGTTTTTTAATTTCTAAATATTATCCGAATACAATAAGTACTAGATTACTTCTTACAATTATTTCATATTTTTTATATTCTTGCATAAAATAATATTTAAAAACTATTATCCTTAGTAGGTATAATAATTTTAATCGCTCAGAAATTACAATTTTACAATTAAAACAAGTTATTACTTAAGTTTGTGATTTTTAGTTTTATTGTTTTTAGGTGTCACGATTTTCTAATCTTGTTTGTATAATGATAATATTATTATGTTATAATATGACATATAGGAACGTTGTGAAACACCTCTTTTTATAAAATTTTAATTGATAATAATAATGAATTTTTTTATTGAATATTATAACTTTCCGTCTCGATAAGCATAAAAACACATAATTTTCTTTAACTTAAACAATTATCGTGAATTTCCCACGTTTTACCAGGAAACAACAACAGCAACCCATTGCTTTTCATAAATAGAAAATAATTATTTTTTATTATTTTTTCGCAAAAGAACAAACAAACTATATAATTATTATATAACAAAATAAAAAAATATACTATGAATTATTATTTATTTCAGACAATTACAAAAAAATAATAATAATTGTTTTTTTTTTTTATCCTTATTTACTACGTGTTAATTACGATTAGAGTGTCAATATGTATTTCGTTAATAAAAAGGTAAAAACTCTTCATAGTCTAGAACATATATATAAATTATACATACATATTATCTATATTTCTATGTATGATAATAACTTACACGGTTTTATAGAAATTCGTAAAACAAAACAAAATTGTTCGAATAATACAGTTTTTTAAATTAAAATATATTAATACTGCGTTTTTTGACACTTGCTGAGAAATAAATACAATTTATATTCAAACGATATTCACAATACAATAAAACATGTTCATACCTATTAGACATTAACACGCATCACTGTAGTATTGACACAGGATATATTTTTTATTTAATCTTTTTGTTGTTGTTGTTGTTAATTGGAGTTTGCATGCCGTTTGTGATAAATAACAATAATATTATTTTAAACAAAGTACTTCTCGTTTGTCATTGGTCATTGCAGCCTTACGTTTTATTGAATTGCAGACTAGGTACTACGAGTACAATTATAATAAGTTGCATAATATACATTAATGTTTTAATATCCTATTATAATATACCGGAAATTTTATTGAAAATAATATTTATATTTACACCGTAGTCCATCGTTTATAATTTAATTTAGTAGTTGTATTATATGAAATGTTATAAAAACCGATTAAAACGTTTACTTTATGAGTGTCATAACGTCTTTGTGGTAAGAAATGATATGCACGTCGGTGTACCCAGCTATTGGCACACAGAGTCGAACAAAAATACGAGTGTTATGTTTAAAGACGACGTCGTAAAAAATACGTGTCTTTGATCCCGGCACAGGTACCGTGATAATAAACATGCAATAAAATATCCGACATATTCAATTTTGGTTTGACAGTTCAATAGCAGGTCGTCCTTCTCATCCTCCTCCTCATCCCGCTGCAGTATGTAGTATTTAATATTATTATCACTATCAGTGAGTGTATATTAATATTGTTAATAACATCACTGTTTCAATATTAAATCGTCGTTTACATGATAAAAATAGCTGCTTATGGGTAACTTTTATTTTATAATAATATCGTTAATATGTTTATTATATATTATTTTCGAGTACCACCTACCTTTATACAGATGGCAAAAAAATAACACAACAGTTATTACATTATTCTATGGACGTAATCCAATAATCGTCGGCGATGAACGACGAGTCGAGGAGAACTAGTCGCGAATTTCCGTCGAAATGTGATTTTGTCGCACAACTCACGGTCGCATTTGTACTACCTACGTATAGTTCAACTTACGTCTGTAAGAAATGTTTCCGATCGTTTTACGATCCAGGAAGTCTTGGTTACGACGTGGTCCTATGTTATTATAACGAAACGTGTGACCAGAGTGGACAGTACTTATTCATCTTTAGACCCGCATGGAACTGTCCATGGTACATGAGTTACTTTACGAGTCTGATCGCGAGAGTTCATTTTCTTTGTGAACTTTACGTTGGAAACTAAAGTAATATAATATACCCGTCACACCGTGTTGCACTCGTCTTACCGCCATTGAGCGTTATTCGCGATCCCGTATATCGGCTTGACAACGATATGTAAAAAGATAACAATTATAAAATATACAAATTAACGAATAAGCCAACAACATGCCCGGGTCGTTGTCTTTGGTAAATGTCATGTCGTTGTTATACTATGACTGAAATAAAAATGTATGCCGTTTAGTTATGTTCTTTTTTTCATACACAGGAGGTCACCGGTCAGGCGTCTAAACATCGACCACAAAATCAACAGGGCGTGGTATTGTATTCATCGTCGGGAAGCGACCATAGTCTCGGAAGAGAGAGGTCGCCGACCATTAGCAGCTACCCAAAAGGATCTCCTTCACTATGGACAGGTGAGTGACGTTTAAAATGTTTTTAAAAATTTGTACCCAAGTTTGTTTGTTTTCTGTTTAACACAGTATTAAGTTTTTAATATTATAATAACTGCAATATGTGGTGTAGATTTAAATATGTAAAATCATTGTTTACATATACGTATCCGAGGAAAAATCTCGAGGGTCTGGCCACCCAAAAATTTTTAAAAATAAAAAATAAAATTTTTGGCTGCATCCGAGTTGGGTCCCGAATTAAAAATTGCTATACTAGTTAGGTCCGTGATTTTTATAGGTACTATACTAGTTGGGTCCTTAATTTTTTTTTTTTTTTTTTTTGGTGAGTACTACATAATATCATTTTCCTTTCCATTTTAATAGACTTAGGGCTGTCTATGATTTATTTAGACCAAAGGTATGGTTAAAAATGTTTTTTTACAGTTTATTTTTTTATATTTTTTGCCATTAAAAATATAAGTTATTAGAATTTTTTTTAAATAATAAATGGCAATTACATACAGGTACTAAACAAAGAAATAAAATTAAAAATACCAAAAAAGTAATAAATAAAAATATATTGATTATAATCAATGTAAATCAATTTTTAGGATTATAAATAAATATTCATGTTTTTACCACAATTAAGCTTAATCTTAAGAAAACGCCGCAACGGCATCATAATGCTGTATCTGTTTTATAAACATACAACATAGCAAATCTATGTTCATCAGTTCCAATTTAGTATGGTAACATTTAGTAATAAAGGAAATTAACCTATTATTTAACTATTTTAACTTAAAGACATAAATATTATCTATGTTTAACATGGGTTTTTTACGATATTCTAATTTGTGTGTGAATTATGACAATTTTTTTTTTTTTATTGTAATACGTTACATAATCATAACTTGATTAAAAACTAAAATATCGTAAAAACCCATATAAAATATAGGATGATGTTTTTATTTTCAAGTTTGATAATACGTAGATCAATTGCTTTTATTAAAAGTTATTGCACAAAATTGGATTTGCTGAACACAAATTTTCTGTCATATGATTCATGCATTTGTGAAACAACTCACTTTAATAAGTTCTCTTAAATTACAACAAATATAAAATATATAAGATAAGAATATTATTATCATTATTATTTTTATTATTAAATTGGCTATTCTATTTATGAAAAATATAAATATATTAAAATTAAAATTAAAAATATTAACTATGAATTGGTATGCAATTATATGCAAAGAATCGAGTAAAACATTATGTTAGTTACAAAAATGTAATGTACTTCGTAAATTAAATTTCGATAATAATTATTTTTTTCACAATAATAAATTTAATCAATTATTGCAAACTAGGTATTGTATCTTTATTAATACAAATTAATTACACATACAATAATATAATGTAATTAATTTAAATATTAACAATAATATCACCTATAACAGTTTCTATTATGTTATACTCATATTTACAATTATATGTATTTCTTTTTCTCTTTTTACTATATTTTATCTCATGCACATTTCTATGAAATTCTTATTATAGGTTAAAAATAAATCAATCAAATATCAAATAATATTTTATTGTCATTTATTTTAAGCACTATTAATCATTATTGTTGATTGTTGTCACTTGTTATACAGACTGTTGCGTGCGGTTTTCATTGAGTGTAAATTAAAAACTCGTTCACTTTCACTTCAACACCATTTTTAACGAGGAGCTATATGAAACAAATTAATTTTTTAGGATTAAATAAATAATAAACATTTTGGGATAAAAAAAAAAAAAAAGATCATTTAATAAATACTCGATGAGAATGAAATAAATTTGAAACAATAACCCAACAGTCGAACGCGCTCATCCATTTAAAAATCGATTGATTGCGTTTTTTTAACCGACAGGCACTTGCAGCCCATTAGGTGGTTCACAATTTTCTTTGGCAACTCAAAACACGTGCTGTTGTCAGCATGTGGTCAACAATTGCAAAATGATGATAGAAAACAACAACAATATGTGGCAACAAAATTCGTTCAAACACAATAGGGTAAGAATTTATATAATAAGGTATTTACATATGTAGATACATAAACATACGTAATATTATAGAAACGCGTATTTAAATATTCACGAAATGTCGGTTAAGGTTTGAAAAAAAATGGACAATAAATTAGTGGGCATGGAATGAACTACACGCGCTTGTACTTTTATTTTTTCTTACATTAATTCCAACACTGTTGCATTAATAGAAGGCGTGCTATTGGAAAAACGGTGTTCACTCGGTTTTTCGTTACAACATTATATATTTAGGAGATCGATGCAAAGGTTTATGATACCATCAAATCCCGATCACTGTTGATAAAGCTTAGGTTTACTATTAAGCTAAAAATCGTCATTTTACTCTAGCATTTACTAAAAATATTGAGTACATCCTAGGATACTAATTGTGTTAATAACCGCTGCAGATATTCACAACAGGAAACTAATATAATTTGTTTAATAAGTTGTTTTTAATTTAATAATTGTTATTTTAAATACAAATTCAATATACTAATAATTAAACTGCGAGTAAGTTATACGTAATTAAAGTTAAATTATAAATGTATTTATTAAAATACATATTTTTTAAATTATGATTAAAACAAATTACTGACAGTCATTTAAATCATAATTTATACAAAAGATAAATAATTTATTTTAAAAATCTTTGTCCATCTGAATGAAAAATGAATATAATAGTTTGACGTATGCTTGTTGTTGTATTTTAAACACACGATATTGAAATAAATTTCTCTAAGTGCATCAACTAGTTTTTACCAATTCTGCATTTTAAAATGTAAACAATTTTTTTAGTAAAAGTGTGGATAAAATTATGATTTTTCAGCTTTTACCAAGTACTAAATACAAAAATCCTAGCATTAACTATTGCATTTTAGCTTTACCTAGTGATCGAATTTTAACGGTATTTTTATTATCCAAATCAAATTATACATTTACTTAGAACCGTAGTTCTGAAATAAATTACACAGAAAATTAATAAACGTAAATCTATAAAATTAAAAAGTTAATCATTATTATATTCATATGTGATAGTCACGAATAATGTGTTTGTGCTACCTTACTGTATTCGTATAAATTAATATACGGTTTTCAATTTTCATTTATATAATATACACATACAATTTACTTATTTAATTATAATGGTATATGACTTAATGTATTTCTTATTTTTTCACAGGGCAATAATTCTGGGCCAAAAAATTCAAATGGAGAACCATACGAAGATAGTGACGGCTTGACGTGGAGGAGGTTGCACATGAGCAGAGCAAAACTCAAAGCTACAGCTACCACATCTGAACTATTATCTGGATTTGCGATGGTAATCATGGTTTATAATATTTAAATGACGTTTTTAACTTGTTTAAATTTTAAACACAGTAACATTTATACTACAATACTATTTTTCATTCGTTTTACGATATTGCAAAAAGACAAATTAAGTTAAGCTTAATACACAATTGTAAAATTGTAATAACATCAGGAAAATGGCAATTAAAATCTAAAATTATGCAATACAAAATTTTACATTTGGAATCCTTGATGGATCAAAAATATTAATGTATAGATTACTCTGAAATTTGTATGCGCATTAAATAATAATTAGCAAATTACATAGAATCCGAGCCTAGCTAACTATATTATAATTATACAATAGGTACACACAAAATAGGTATTTCCTATGATCGATTTAACTGCCTAATTTTTAAGTATTTAAATTTATAGATGATCAGATATTTTTAAAAACAATTAGATATTGTTATAAATAATTATTTGTGTACTATGTAACAAATACTTTAAAATATACAATAACTATTTATTTATTTTTTTTAAATAAAAAAAATCATAATTGAAAAATTGAGTAGATACAATTATTTCCATTGAATTGATCAACCTATATTACAATTTACAATTGTATAGATATAATTAATATACTATAGCGCTTTGTGATACAATTTAATTAATAGTTCTTTGCAAAAAAAAAAATAATAAAAACGAAAATTAAAACAGAAACAAATACTAGTTTAAATTATTATTGAATTAAATTTTATTTATTTTTTATCATAACTCTCTAAACTAGAAAATTATTTATGTACATGTTTGTACATTATGTATAATGTATATATTATATACATCTAACTTGAAAGAATTTTCAAGTTCAAGTAGATGTATCGCCTGTTACGTATGCCAACTAACACACACTACTCGATTTTATTTGCGTCTCTTTTAATGATACTCGAGTATTATAGTCGAATAAATGTAGAACACACCTTTATTCGTTAATTTTTTAGAAATTCTCATTTGGTCATAAATGTGAAATATCATATAATTTTATTTTATTTTTCACTTTGAACCATTGCATAACATAATAATATGTTTGAACCCTCGAAAACTGCTGCAACTAAATATACTGTAATAATATATAAATTCGAATCAAATAAACAAAATAATTATCGGTTTGAAAACAACCCATTCGGATGCGTGCGTAGGTGTGCCGCGAAGTGTTGTCGGGAAAATGTAGGTTGAATAATAATTTAAAACCAACACATTTTACATGACATTTATATTTTTTGTATAATTAAGTGAAACAATAATTTTTCTCTGACAATCCGACGAGGTTCATTTTGAATGTAATTCGATTTTGATATTATGTTTACTTTTACGCGTCCGCTGGTGTGCTTTTCAAACGCATACATATTGTTAAACCTTTTATATAAAGCAAAAATAGGTTTTGTAATTTTTGAAATTAAAACAGTTTTAGTTTGTACGAATTTCAAATCATCGCAGATCACTGTTGTTTGAGACGACTTAACAGCAAACTGTTGAGCGGATGGTTTTTGAAAAAAAAAAAAAAAACAAATTATGCATTGAAACAAAAAAATTATAATTTATACGCATTCGATGCATTAAACATAACATAACGTCTAACGAATGATACTGTTATGCCCTCAACTATACGCCCCCTTTGCGCGCTTCAGGTTGCGATGGTGGAGCTGCAGATCAACGAGCCGACCATGGTGCCCGAATGGCTGTTCATCATGTTCGCGGTGTGCACCACCGTGCTGGTGGCCGTGCACATATTCGCGCTGATGATCAGCACGTACCTGCTGCCCAACGTGGACGCAATCAGCAAGCTGCAGAGCACCAAGCTGATCCAGGAGTCGCCGCACGAGCGCATGCGCGGCTTCGTCGAGCTGGCCTGGGCGTTCTCCACCGTGCTCGGGCTGTTCCTGTTCCTGGTCGAGGTGGCCATACTGTGCTGGGTCAAGTTCTGGGACCACTCGGTCCGGGCCGCCATGGCCGCCACCATAATCGTCATACCGGTGCTGGTCATATTCGTGTTCTTCGTGTTCCACTTCTACCGGAACCTGGTCGTGTACAAGTGCAAGTCCACCGTGTCCGACATCAAGGAACTGGAGGCCATGAAGAAGAAACTGGACGCGGCCGGCACCACGAAAGTCGTCTGATCCGCGCTCGCCGGCCGTTCGGTAGTTTTCGCGTTATTTTCAAACAACGAGAAAATATGCCCACTCTCGCGAGAGTCATTCTCGCGATATCAATCGCATAACATTGTATTTCCGGTGCACTACCGCAATAGGGACTATTAAATCCCATCACACATATAACGAATAGAAATAAATCTAAACGAATATTTAAATGAAATCATTATATATGAAACACCTGACGTTGTGCGCCAATAACTCTTGTAAATTAAATCTATTATAATATGGCAAATATGCCAAAAATATGCACTACCTACCTATTAACATTTATATTTTTATCACTGTTGTTATGAAACGGATGTGTACCTCACTTAGCATGTTTACCTATATGTAGCAAGAGTATATGGGAACGCACGAACTTACAAATTTTGGTTATTATATTATTTAATAATAATCCAATAATAATTTATTTTACCATTGTCGTCAAATTATTATAATATTATAATCGTTATTATTATCATTAGTAGAAGTAGTACATATCACCACTATTATTATTATTATTATTATTATTATTGTACACATCATTCCGCGCAATATATCATATATATTTTTATATTATAAACGAAATATCGTATCTATATATTATTATTATATGTTATAATACACGCGCACGTCCAATTGAAAAAAAAATGTACCTATATTTTATGTTAATGTATAATAATAGTTGACAATGAAGCAATACCTGATAAGTAAAAAATGTGATTTTGAGATATACAATATTAACATTTTTAGAAAAATACCTTACTCACAATACCTTACATCGCAATAATTATAAGCTATCATTATTTTCAAAGATAATAGATATAAACTTTAAAGTATAATTCCACTTCAGTCGGTCGTCAACGTGTGATAGAAATATTAGGTACGTGTGTATCTATTATCTAGTGATAACTATTTTAACTTGTACTGTCATATTAGTATTATATTCATTTCTATTTTTCGCTCTACTTATGATAATGTATCTCCTGAAAAAAATCGGCTTTTTTACGAACCAATTATTGCTTCTCTGTCGTCCAATTATTGATCAGCACTGTACCTAGCCCTATATGATGTATGTTATATTACAATATGCTGCTGATCGTGGAAGCAAGTCCGCTGCATAAGCCTTGGTTTTTGATTGTCAATCGATCATCAGCTGAATACAATATGAGAATCAGTCGTAATGGTGGCTACGTCTCAAAATTGAGGAAATTAAAAAATATTACGCTCGCAGCTGTGTTATGCGAATGCCGACCAGCATGGTTGTTTTTAGATAATATACAGACAGAATAATATACTCATTGCCACAGGTCGATACGAAAAACAAAAATATCTAACTCCATATTTGCTCGTCATATTATTGCACGATACAATGAAACTTCAAAATATCGAATACTCTTGGTCGCTGAAATTGTGTCTGTTATTTGGATTTATCCGTTATTGAAAGTTTTGCATTACCTAAATATTATTTTGATCCAACGTATTGCCTTGATCATTGCATAGCCGCCACTGCGTGTATCACGAACCCATAAGAAACGTGATACCTACCTTGAAGTGGTTAACAAAATGTTGTACGACAAAATTATTTATTTAAATAGTTTGATAACAACTAGTATTATATTATAATAATTATTATATTCTAACTGTAAGAATGTATTTTTTTCTTGTATTTCTTTTTAGAAATGTATCCAAATATTTTTTTATCACTATCGATTTGTGTGTCAAATTTAAACTTTATACACAATATAATATTTTATCAGGTTTTTTTGTTTTTGTTTTTTTTTTATTATTATTTTAACAACAAAATGAACAACTAGGTATACAATTAAAATTCAGTTAACAATTATTAAATTTTAATTTTTTTTTTTTTGTTCAACCATGTATACTCCTTCTATACTAAATATTTGTATACCTACACTATATCACAAATATAGACGTAATATTGGAAAAATTCAAAATAATTCTTATCAACTCGACGATCATGGATAAATAATTTTTAGAGAGTTTCAGCGATTTCCATAAAAGTTAATAAATAATACTATTATGTTTTTGTCTAAATGAATGAAAGGAACTAAATTCAAGTGTTTACCGCCACAGCTGGACTACTTCAACTTTTTGACATAATCACTCGAAATAAAAAGAAAAAAATGTCTATAATTGGATGCCATAAATGGACTCATCTTTAATTATTTTTCATAACATCAGAGTTTTCCGGTTCTGAGTCGAGTGCAACAAACAATTCCTTACATTTTAATCCTCAAATACAATAAAATGTAAATAAAATGTAATTACATTTTTATACTTCGTCTTATAACTAAAAAAATGTAAGTAATTGGATATCGCTTTGCTGTGCATTTGGTAGTGATTAAGTCTCTATTATATTTCTGTTAAATTTGAATTCTTTCATATATCATTGTATACGAAAAACGATTCTGAGCGAAAGAGGATATCAGCTTATATCATCAAGTGGTATATTTATTTTTTTTTTTTGATGTAGCTGTTATTATATAGTTATTTATTTTACTTTTAGTAGTTATTATAGTAGGTTGATATATTTTTTTCCGAAAATATAGCATTTATTTTATTATTATTATTATTATATGTATTCATACTATATTTTATCAATTTTTAGAACACAAAATTTAATAACATATTTTTGTAAATACTGTAAAACAATTAAAATAGATTCATAATATCTATAAAAAGATAATATTTAAAAATAAGTCAAAAATATGATCTCATAAAGTACAATAAATTCATAATAATAAAAAATAAATAAAAGTTTAGGTTCCTACGAAGTACGAATGATTATGTTTTTAAATTATAACAAAATAATTAACATATCGTTATTTATCGATTAAATAAATAATAGTAATTTTCGGTTATCTTACTTCAATGGCTGTCGGCGGCGGCCGGAAAATACAGATTCCATTATCGTACTCTATAATACTTAATACTCACAAATATAATTTTTTAAACTCAGATAGTGGGGTATATACTCAAAATATTAAATATATAATTGAGTTTTAATTAAATTATAAGCAACACCGTTAAATTCATACCTATTCTTCATAAAAATATTTTTATTTTATTTTCATAAACATATCGTATTTCATAATTTTTTGTATTTATATTTTATTAAAATAAATTATATTTTTGATCATATAGCACAAAGTACGATAAATGGATTCGGTATTTCCCGGCCGGGAAAATATGATATTATTTTTACATTCATTTAACATAAAAATCTTTTTATGTAGGAGGCATGAATTTAACGATGTTGCTTATAATTTAATTATAACTCGATTATACATTCAATATTCCCAAAATATTTAAATATCTATTAAAAATTATTTTTAAAATTATCCTAGAATAATAACCATTAAATTTAATATAAAATCTAATCTATATTTTACTAAAACCATTTTAATTAGGTACTATTATTATCCCTATTATAAACATTTTAATAACTAAGAAAGTAGAAACTACTTATTAGGTTTTAAAATCATTTACATTAAAAAAAAAAAAATGTATTCACTATTAATTAATAATAACAAATAATCGATATACGCAGATTTAAGTAACTATATAATGTAAGATTTACATTAGGGTAACTTACTAAGGTGGCCATTCGTCCCGGATTTCCCGAACAAAGTTTCTTGGGACACCGATTTGTGCCGGTTTTAGATATGTATGTATATAGTTATGTCCTGGAATTTAAAATTGTTTTCATAATGCTTTTACTTACTAGATTATCGAATTTATTTTGAATAAAATCTATTCCTAAATATTAATTATTATAATAACAATATTTGATAACGAACGCCGGAACGTCTGACGATGACATTTAAAATCACTTTCTAAATTTAGCCAACTTATTGCTTAGGACTATATTAATTTACAGTCAAGAAAAATCGTGTTATGATTTTTGAATTTTGAGAACCACGATTACGAAATATAATATAAATATTCATTTACTATCATACCCGTTTATTATTTCATACATCAGTATTCAGTACGCATTTATTTGCCGACAGTATGAGTCGTACGTGAATTTGAAAACTACTAACAGTTTTGTACGTATTTAATATTTATACTTTGTAGCGTCGTAATTTTATTTAGTTCATATTTTTACGTAATTACTATGTTGCTTTAAAGATTGTCATTTTAATGAGAAGTTATAAAATGATTTACCATTTATTAAAAAAAAACTCAAACCTACTATGTACAACTTGCCATTAACATTTTTATTATTATATGTAATAATTTATAATTTTAGTATCCCAAATTTCTTAAAAGTTTATCCAGCCACTCTAATGTAAGTTATAGCAATATTATCGTAAGCATGTAATGCGTAAACAACATTTTATGACTAATGTAAATACATTATTGTTGGTAACTAAAACTTATAAATATTATAAATATTACTTTAAAAAATATTTTTAAAATGCATATACTCATTAATTTTAATATATTTCCTATTTAAACTATGAACTTATTCACTTTGTTTTACTGTAAGGTGATATTGATAAAAGTTGATAAGAATAATATAATATAGTATAAATTGTATTTATTTTCATTAAAATAATAAATACAAAGTTTTTGGAAAAAATTAAATCTAAATTACACTGAAATAAATAATTTTAATAGAAGTATAAAGAAACATAAATTTTACTATTTTTACTAAATGATAAGGACTAACAGGTCGTCTTTTCCTAGATTCGTTTTTTGTATACAATGGTATATCATTGAATTATAATTTAATACATCCGTTCAGTGATATACTGAACCCCTAATATTTAACGGAGCGGTAATCACTTGTCTACCTTTTTTATATACAGTAGTTATTAAGTCCATGTTCTTAAATAACTTGAATTTTGTTTCTATACCATTTATTAAATATTTTTTAGCAATATAAATATTTATTTTATTTTCAAATAAAAACCACTTTTTTTTTTTTTTATTGTAAATTTCAAAGCAAATATATTTATTTTTTTGAAAGTATTTATGCACCTGTTTAGAAATTAAAGCAAGTAATTCTGAGTTATTAAACCTTATGTGTATTAAGGATAATAGCCCTTATAATAAGGATTGTACATACATTTTAAAATATACTACGTTATATATTTAACTAAATCCTTATTATACATGGAAAACGTTTACAAATTATAAAACTGTTTAAAGTTAATATTAATTATTATACAATAAGAATACTATCACAGTCCCCGTATAATCTTCTAAACCTACAGTTATCAAAGAGTATTATTCTTAATAGATACTTAAGTTTTAAAGTAAAATAACTTAGAAACTACTCATTTGAATTTCGATTTAGATAAATCAATATTTCAAAAAAGTTATCCTCCTAGCAATGTACAAACTACAGTTTTGCAAATGGGAACTGCCCTCTTTTGTATTATAAATTAAAGTATCAAAATCAAAATTCGAACTAGTAAATTTTTAATTATTTATATGTTCGTATCAAGGATAATAAGTTCATGATGATATATTATCTGAAATATATGGGAACTATGACAAATTAAAAATTTTAATTAGAATAATAAAATACAACCTAACTAAGAATAATAAATATTACATCTATTTTATATTTTTATAAAACAAATTTTAAGAATTATCATTTATAATATAAACATTTTAATAACTGAGAAACACTACTCGTTATAATTAACGTTTTCAAAAAAATATGCATAATTAATACATAGTAAAAAAGGTCGATTTTCTTTTGCAAAAACATGAAACATGTTTTTCAGTACAGTAAACAATACTACTTAAAATATATAAATGATTATTTAATAATATTTAAAAATATATACCTTACATAATAAATAAAAATTTACAAAAATTTTAAATTTTAATTAAATATTTGGAAAAGTTTCTCTGTATAGTTCGTTGATTGACAAAATATAGTATTTATAAGTAGAACATCGATAAGATAACTCATTGTTTTTAGAAACCCACCGTGAACAGTACTACAATTTATCAGTTTTCCTGTCCAACTTGACACATAATTAAAATTCAGTGGAAAAATACTGCATGGCACTCTGTACGAATATATGTATGTGTTTATGTATTTATATATAGTACGATAATAGGCGTACTGCGCACTATGAAATATTGTCGATTTAGTGTCATATTATTTACACTCAAATTACACGAGACAATAATAATTGTAAAAGTTTTTAAATTACCGAAGAAAATGACGCCGTGTAAACTCAAGTCTTATAATATATAAATATTATATTTTGTCTGTCAACAGGGCGAGATTGAGCGATTCCCTCAAGTATGTTTACTTATATTTCTCGTAATTTATTAAAATTCTTAATTTTTATATATTATGTAAGGGCTATATTTTCAAATATTCGAGTTTTATTAAACCTTTTAAGTAGTATAGTATTCTTTAGTGATATGCATGCTTTATTTTGTAAGGCGATGATTAAAAAAAAAAAAATAATATGTATTGACATTGAAATACCATGAACTAGTATTGTTTCTGAGCTATTAAAATGTATACATATAGGTACCTGGTATATCTACTATGGAAAATTGTTTTAAAAAATGGTCCCTACAAACAAATAATAGATATAATAATATGTAATCTATTATACTTACAGACTAAACTTATTAAACTCTGTCACTATAGAACAATTTTTAGAAATTATAAGTTACTGATACAGATTAATATTATTTACTAGAATTTTAAAATTGTCAGAGTAAATTAAAAAACTTAATCATTTAGAAAGTAGATAATATCTACTAATAGATATTATCTATTCTTCAAAATGTATTATTATAAATGAATCAGCATTAAAAAAAAAAAAAAAAAACAAAAAAAATACCTCTTGTTTGAAAAAAAAAGTTTGTACTGCCACAACACATTTCTTAATATCATATACACAAAAATTAAAATATTTAAACTAATATGATCCTTGAGCGTACTAAAAATTCCAAAAACTAGAATTCGAATAAATGTATTACTAAAGGTAAATTTGGAGGTGGGCGTGAGTTTAGTGATTCAATTTGTATAATATGTATAATGTATATATACAACAAACAGCACACAAACAGCTGTTACCGTCAAAAAACATCTTATCCGGCTTAAATATATATATACATGTGTGCCACCATAAATTTGAAATTTTAATTATTTATACAGAGAATAAGTACGTCATATCCATGCCTCGCTGTTCATTCGCCGTTATAATACATCATGTTTAGAGGTTGATGTTTTAATTTCTCAATAATAAATATCAACAGCAAATTAGCTTCATGATGCACCGTAACATGGACACGTAATATGGTACAAGTATACGAAATGTATTCATTTAATGAATAAGATACTCTTTATTATTTAAAAAAACACTTAAATTAAGGAATTTAAACACACGTTGTCATTAAAAAATATAGAAAATCAAAAATGGTAACGATAAAAAAATAAATATATTATATATTTTAGAAAAATTTTAATTTTTAATCACATAAAATTAAGTAAAAAATATTTTCAAACATTTTAATAGTTTTTAAAACAATGAGTGTCTTGTATTCTTTATTAAATTGATCATCCTGTACACTACATTAGGAGAGAATAATAATAATTATATTTTTCCGTAAATTCTTTATTGCAGCTGTTAAAACATATAATATGCATGTGAGTTTTAATATTTTTTATTAAAATATATTGCGTTTATTAATATCCGTCATATTAAATAAAAATGTTAACATAGATAAAATGTTAAATAAACCTATTTAAAAATATCGGTAAAAAACGATTACATACATACAACAATTGATTGTTGAAACGACCATAAATTTATTATTATAATCATACGTCTATTCTAATAATATATCATAGATTTATTGTTATAGATACCATTAAAGTTTTAAAAGTTTTAAAATTAATTAATTATAAATTTATGCTTAGACAAGAAGCAACCTACAAGCTGTAGCTCTGTAGGATATAACAAATACTTTGTCAACATTTTCTATCACACTTTGATAATGTGAGAATAGTTTTATTTAAATGTTGTTCATCTGATAGAGTTATACACCGTGTAAATTCTAATAGTATTTCGATGCAAGTTTCTTGTTGAGTTTATTACTTTATAACTAAGATTATCAAATAAACATTTTGGATAAGATCTATATTGGAACTATACGTTGTAAATTTGATGAAAGCTCTACGATACTATTTTTATTTTCATTAACTTTAAGTAATACTGTCCTTATAATATAGCTATATGATTAACGTAATACTATATTTTAATATAACTCGTGTACTTAGTAAAAAATTATTATTTTAATTAATTCAGTTATTTTTTTTTTTTTACTACATGCCCTTGGTAGATATTAGAGCCGTCATTGTAATTGTAGCTCACAATGCATTAAGCAAAAACAGCAAAAACGAATAAAAGTTAGTTAACTAACTGAAATCTAATTATTTTTATAATTCCAAATATTATAAATTTAACAAATACTATTAATAAGTCGTAATCGGTGTATCACTTTTAGGCATTTTTATCTGTTGAGACATACAGTATTCAAAATCTGAAACACTTAAATTAGTTCTCATATTTAAAAATTAATATTCGAATTGATTTCCAAAATTCTAAATGTACAATCCCAAATTATTTTCTTATAAAGATTTTAATAAAAGGCAAAATGCCATCTAATAATTTATTTATTTATCTGATTTTAATTTATTATATTTCCTATCATTTAAAATAAGTTCTAATTTAATATATACGTGAAATTTCAAAATACGAAAAAATTATAGAACCAGCAATCAAAGAGATATAAAAAAAAGAAAAATGAACAAATTAAAAAATAAATAAATATGTAGATTACAATTTATAAATAGATAATATGAATTATACATTTTTACTTCAATAAAATAAAACGTTGAAAAAACTATAAAATAAATACGATTTGTGTACAAAAATAACAAGCAGAAAATAAATTAGGATATTATATCCTTCGTAACTACTCGGAAACCAATTTAGATATGGTATTCTCAACAACTTAGAAACCAAACCAACTCGAATACACCTCAAAATCCACTTAGTGTTTGATCACTCAATATATATTTAACGTGATGCCGCCTTTGGACATTAAGATGAAAGAAGTATATTCTCTTCTTTAAGAAGTATGAGTGTCGAGTGTATAAGCCAGGAATCACCATTTAATAATTTTGGAGAGCGCTACTTAAGAAATTTCGGTAAAAAAAAAGTACCAATTGAAACTACATGTTATAAATTGAACCCTAAAATCCGATAGAATTTACAATCACCCATAAGCCATACATGACACTTAACATAATACGTTATACTGTAATAGATACTAATAATATTTATGATGATTTTATTGGAATATGTGAAGTATAATATTATGCTAGTCATATGTACACAATAATAGAAAATATTATAATTATTGAAATAAGTGAAAAATGTATTATGTCAAATTATTATTAATTAATGAAAGTTTTGCATAATGTGCACTGTATCAAACTCGACAAACGTCTGATTAGGGCTTAAGATAAATTAAAAAGTTAAAATAAAAATTAATTTGTCTGGAAATTGCAGATGTATTTTCGATATTGTCTGTGACACTTAATCACCGTCCACTTTAATAATCGTATTAAATTCCGTTTCACATCCATGCAATGGTTGCACGCAGCGTCGAAGCGTTTTTCGATGTACAATGTTAAAGTTTGTACGCGCCGCGCCGTCGATATGATGCACTTACGGCTTCATTATTACAGGTTTTTAGTTTTAATTTATACTCGTAACATACTATGATTTCTAACTTATGCAATTATCAAAAAAAAGTCTACACTTTGGGTACCTATATAAAATATGTTTTTATATGTACTATTGTGTAGCCACTATAATATAGTGTCCAAACGTGTTACAGGTTTAATCAGAAAAAAATAGTGCCCAAACACGTTGTAGCCGGTCGTAGTACCTAGATACGTGAAGTTTTTACGTTCTGATATTATAATTTTTAATGAATTCTCTATGATTAAATAAAAAATGAATTAAATACAATATTAATACCAGTAACTTCCTTAGTGACAATCGATCGTATACTATAAATTTGAATGTAACCATTTTGAAGTACTACACATCAGGAAATCTGAATAATCTGATATAATAATTGATATTTACTCTTATCGAAAAATATTTAACTTGAAATAATAGCTAAAATAATGTTTCTCAAACTTTATCAATAATATTCATATTTAAATAAGTTTTTCACGATTACAAAAACAGTAACATTACATTAAATTTAGGCAGGTGCAGCGTATTTAAATTTTATTATACGCAATCGTATGTACACCCTTTTGGAACCTTTTTTATTTCATCAGTACTGATTCTAGCAGGTCCTATTATTGACAACAACATATTTCACCGGTTCTGTTTTGGTCATATAGCTTAAGAAAAATTTAATAATTTTTCTTCAAGTTTGATTCAATATGTCTTTTTAATTATTTAAACTATACATAAATAAAATCTAGGTACTTACGTTTTACACAATAAATAATGACAAATACTTAGGCGAAGATTACATAAATTCATAAATTTTTGAGTATTTCATAAAAATCCAAATGTGAAGTTTTCCAATAATCCCAAGTTTAGTTACTTTTCGTATCAAACATGATTAATTTTTGATATTTATAAAATAAAACATTTATTTTTTAAATATTGCCGGGTATAAGAATCTTTATAGTATTGTGTAAATTAAATTTTTGAGAATTTATTTAAAAACCATTGTTCAATCAAAGACGATAGATTTTCAGTTTTAAATTATTTTTTTCAAAAACGTAACTATATTATAAGTATATAATTTAGTTTTAACTTTATACCTAATTAGTTGTTATTAATTATTATTGGAATTAGATTACATTTTAACAGTAAATTATTATTGAATATAGTTATAGAGAGACGAGTTCTACGCCTCCTGATATATTAAAAATGTTGGCTTCGACACTGATATGATAATAACTATTATTTGGTTTTAAGAAATCATGTAGGCATACACACTGACGTTAAATAATATTATGCAGATGACTGTCTTGGGATGAAATAGATCAACTTGCTCGTTTCTTGAAGGTCGCCTGTTGCGTAAATACGTAAATATAATAATGTAATTGTTTTAACTCGGGGGTAATTGACCACCTGATGCTATGTAATATTATATGTGTAAACGAAATGGCTTTAAAATCCGCTTTACGTTTATGGCCTTTGCAGTGTTAACTTAAATGCGGGACATTATCCTTTTCTGAGCTTAAAATAATAATAATAATAATATCAAACGTTTTTAAGTGTATATAGGCCAATGCGAAACACTTATACAGATTCATTGTTAGGCATTATAATTATGAATGTGTTTTAAGTTGGTACCTACTTACTTTAGTGAGCAGCAGACTCGTAATTATTTTTATGCTTCAAATGCAGTCGTTTAGGTGTATATGATGTAGCATTATATAAAATTAAAGTTGTCTATTAAAATTATGTAATAAATTAATAAAGCATTTCAAAGTAAAAAAAAAAAAAAAATTAAAAAAATAAATACGTTTTATAGCTTGTTTTTGTCCAAGTGTAAAATAATGCACAAAAATATATTTTTTTAGGATACCACATAATAATAACATATTCTATTTACACAATATAGGATGTTTTACAATGAATACTCAACTCAATTATATCCTTAAATAATTTGTTATTTGAATTTTGAATTTTTGAATGTATATAAATTAAACACACACACACACACACACACACACACACACATACATATATATACCTGCATTTTTTAAATATAGTGAAGCTTTAAATACACGATACTCTCGGCTGATGAAATTGAGTTTTCTATTCAAATGGT